AACAGACATATTACTGGTAAGTTTGTGAAGCCATTTCTGCTAAATAGACATGTAAAATCAATCTAAATGAAATCTTCAGGGGTTTAACTTGATAATTACTACATGATTTTAATCAATCTATACAGAATTTTCAGAGGGGTGACTTGATAATTACCACAATGACTCAATCTATAGGGAATTGTCAATGAAAACAATACGTAGCGTAAAGTGAAAAATCAATAACTTACTGATAAAATTGGATAATAAAAAAAGCAACATGTGATGGTGTTTCATATAAAATCTACAAATTTAAGGGTTCCAAAGAAAATTAAAGTTTCATTATTCCATCTTCAATACGATTACCCAGGTTACAGTTTCTTTTTAAAACTACTTGTTGACCAACGCTGTAACCAGAACACTTTCATGGTTTATCTACCGTTATATTTTCACAATTTGACTTAAGACGTACCTGCAAATCTTGAAACAAAGGTGTTATTTTCAGGAGTAGCACAGTTTACACGTGTGAAAGGAGCTGTGCAAATTATTAAGATGCAGAAAAATTCATACAAAAGAAAATATAATCTAACATCTACACTGAATTCTCCATAAAAATATGGTTAGTCCTGCTTATCTTCTTCGTACAATAATTAATTCAACTATTTACTACTATTAAAAAACAGTACCAAAATTTAAAACACTTATTCACAATATTGATCTGTTTAACTAAGATTTACTTACATTACGCTGTTCTCTGACAGTAGAGGAAGTTCCTGGAAATAGAGCCACATTAACAGTCGTCAATTAGAAACAACTGTACTAATGGAACGCTTACGTTTATTTCACACGAAGGCTTATTTTCTACTGGAGACCAATTGTTTACAAAAACTTGAAATAGGAATTTCCAAGGAGAGACCCATGAACCTACCAATAACATAGTTATTCTATGGTAAAAAACATACTAGTAGTATCTGTAATCTCCAGGAAAATGCCCTTGAACCTGTCAAATATCAAGGAATATGCCCCAAACATACCAGTAGTTCATCTATTTACAGGAAAAAAAGCCCAAAATTGCCAGTAATATGACTATTCTCTAGAAAAATTACCCTAAAACTTGTCAGTAAAATAGTGTAGTAATTATGAAGTTAAACTCCTGAAGATTTCCTTTAGATTGAGTAAAATCGTGTAGTAATTATCAAGTTAAACCCCTGAAGATTTCCTTCAGATTGAGTAAAATCGTGTAGTAATTATCAAGTTAAACCCCTGAAGATTTCCTTTAGATTGAGTAAAATCGTGTAGTAATTATCAAGTTAAACCCCTGAAGATTTCCTTCAGATTGAGTAAAATAGTATAGTAATTATCAAGTTAAACCCCTGAACATTTCCTTCAGATTGAGTAAAATCGTGTAGTAATTATCATATTAAACCCCTGAAGATTTCCTTCAGATTGAGTAAAATCGTGTTCTAATTATCAAGTTAAACCCCTGAAGATTTCCTTTAGATTGAGTAAAATCGTGTAGTAATTATCAAGTTAAACCCCTGAAGATTTCCTTTAGATTGA